TAAAAATATATTCTATTACGACCTGGTTAAGGTCTAAAATCCACTTTGTATAAATCTTAAATCCATCTGTACAAAATGGCAATATATTTGTTACACAACTGAAGGCACCACATTCATCGACGGGTTTACTAGAAAAGCTCTTTTTTATTTCGTACGCAATATATTATCTTCTATTATCTATTGTTATCAAAATACACAATCGATAATGTAGTACAACCTTTATATTACAGCATTTATCAGTGTTGTGATTTAGTCTAATCAAATTCAATGTACCATAGTTATCAACTCTTAACATAAGTATTTAGAAAATTAGATCATTTTTTGTACGATCTTAGCAAGAATGGTTATATTTTCAAAAATGGTCAAACAACAGACTGTAATTTACCTTTGTTCATGCTATTTTTAGTACTGTTCAGAGTCAGTATTTATCCACCATAGCCTTTAGAAGATACCCAAACCACCCTCTGACATTTCACCTTTGCCATTTAAGCAATATTGATCCCAATCACACAGGTAATAAGATTAAACCTTCAGACGCAAACAAAGCTGCTGAAATCCCTTTGTCCCAGGAGAATTTTAAGGCCAAAACAGTGTAATATTTCTAATTCCTTCTATTTCTCGTGATTAATTTGGCCCTGCGTCGAGTTACAAAGGCCTTACGTTGCCCAAAGGACATTTGAGCTTTGATTTATTAACGACCTATCGTTAGGGGATGTTAAATATCGTCTGCTGTGTATTTATTGAAAGATTTGTCAGGTATACCTCATTAAATCTGTGTGGTGCAGAGTAGATTACCTACATCTGTTGAATAGAAGAATAGAGATAGCTATTCTTTCCTAGTATTGTAAGAATTGACTAAGAGACTAAAAATATACATTTAGCCGAGATCGAGTAGCAGAGCTCTCTGGTCATCTTGGTTTAGCTATTACACGAAAACTAATAAAATAAAAAGAATAGAAGCTTTAAAACGTTGGCTCACTTTAATCAAATTCTTCATTTTTTGCGATAAAATTTCCCGTCTAATGGATATTCTGAGACACGTAGCCACGAAACGCCTACAATTCACAAGCGATTGCAAAATTAACTCGATTGCCCTCACCGCGCCGTGGACAATTCCCATTAATGTCGATTCAGTAAAATATCCGATAGATTTTATTTTATAGATATCGTGAATGATTTTGGCGATATCTAGTGTATATCGTTAGGTAGAGCTTACTTCTGTGGGTGCTAAATTTTACGTGCAACCAAATACATAAATAACAATAATAATGAAAGCCTATAAATGTACCCATATCAGTCATTCTAAGGACTGATGATCCCCGAAGGCCGAAAGTGTGTTTCTCTGTTCCTGGTAATCAAACCGACGCCCTTTCACATAAAACGTACGCCATCAAATTCACACCCACATTCCTATAGGTACCTATCAACAGTTCGTAAAACCAAAACATAATCTCGGTAAGTCGTCCCTTTTCCGACCGGTAATCGAATAATCGGACCAAAATCGATTTTGTTCCGAATAATCGAGATGGAAAAACATGTTTACTTTAACTAAAAACTGACCGATGACATTCTATTCTCTCAATAATAAAATTAAAAAGAATCTATATTGGAGGTAATAAGTTAGATTAGGGATTTTGTTTGGACTTTTTGATTTTTCATATTTCTTTAATTACTTAGGAGTAGTAAAAATAGTTTGTTATTGTCTCAGAATTGTTTTTTTTATTCAATATAAGTAATGGTATAACAAATACTTGCTATGTAACGCTTGGGTTATAGTGTACCTATATGTTAAGGAAAAATGTTATGATATAATTAAAATTGTTTGTACAATGAGTGTCTCTCGCCATCAAACGTCAAAGTTTGGCGACTTTATATTTAAGGCCATACCTATGTAAAATAGCAATGAATAAATTTGTTACAAAAAAATGTTGAAAATAATATAAATTAAAAAATTTGTTGAAAATAATGAATTAGTGTTTTAAAATTACAAACTAATTTAATAAAGTGTAGAACATACTATGGAAAAATGGTTCTATTAAAATTCCAGCCAGAATGCGACATATATAAAGATAAGTGTGGATACCTAAGTACATATAATGGTCATTGGGCCGTAAATGAAGCTAGTTATTCGTTCATAAACGCTAGTCGATAAATACGAGGGATGGGCAACTGACATGAATCAAATTAACAACGTCGCTTTATGTAAACCCATTAGCAGACGATACTGGGGTATTGATTACCTCATTGTATTTACCTATACCTGTACAATTATATACACAGTTCATGTATAACAAAAAATCGCAGACGACAAGTATAAGTCGTAAAACTTGACCGTTTTACTAAAGACGCCGTAAATTATAAGGTACTAGCTACTTCCGCGCGGTTTCACACGCTCTGCTCAGCTCCTATTGGTCGTAGCGTAGCGTTTTATAGCCTATAGCCATCCTCGATAAATGCGCTATCCAACACAAATAGATTTATGCAAATCAGACTTATAGTTCCGAAGATTAGCACGTTCAGACAAACAAACAAACAAAAAAACAAACTCTTCAGCTTTATAATATTAGTATAGATTAACCGTATTGAAATAGGTAATCTTTAAAAATATAAGCTAGGTAATCAAAGTGAAAGCCTTTATTTCAATAAGGCAAATAAAGAGACTACAATGCCAAGAGTACAATAGAAATAAATACATTTGTCTAACTGTTAGTAACTATACAAATGGTTGTTGAAATCGCCGAAATATTTAATCATTAGTACTATAAGTCGAATCATTTGATGCCAGCGTTTGATGGAAGGCGATTACCGTAGCTTACGGCCGTTGGCAACAGCTGCGGTGTCACTCAAGCTGACAATCCAATAAATAAATGTAATCTACAATGGAAATAAAGCGAATTTTCTTTCATTTTTGTTAAGTTTTTTCGGTTACTTATAAATACCATGATCAACGCGTATTTCCTATGTAAGTAGGGAGAAATATTGGTGAGCAAAAGTTCAATTAAATGAGAGTTTATATTCACAAACTGTAAGTACACTGTGTATTGTTCCATTATTACTTTTCCTGCCACAGACCCACAGGAAAAAAATCCCATAGGAATAGGTGCCTTTCGTGAGACATACTGAGTTAATTATTATGTTATCGGCTTATTAACGTAACTGTTTGAGGACGAACTCGACTAGTTTCTAGCCATGCTAGAGGCTCATATTCATGAGCAGCATTCCGCGACCCGCGATGCGGCAACTGTCGCGCTGCTACACTGTACCTTTGTACTTTAATTTTGTATATGTGTTGTCTTTTATGTTGTATGTGTAATTGTGCATATATCTATATACATAAAAATGAAACCCGTTTCTCGTTGTCACGCCATAACTTGAGAACGGCTAAACCGATTTGGCTGCTTTTTTTGTTGTTGTGTTTATTATTGTCAGGAGAAGGTTCTTATGACAGAAAAAAATCCTGAAAATCCTACGGTAATGGGAGATACGGGATTACGCGTACCTTCGTACGCGCAATATCGTTTATTGTTTAATATACCTACCCAATCGCGGACAGAAGCTAGTAAATAATAAATTAATTAATTAATCAATTCTAAAGAAAATTTATCATATTATAATGGAATACATACTAGTCACTCGTGTTATTATACTAATGTATTCTATAAAATAAACTATTATTATGTCTGAATTCGCCTGAATTCCGAATTCAGTGGCGTTGTACGTAGTCACTAGACATAGGCGTTTATTTAGATCTTATTAAGTCAATTCTGTCGATTGTCTAATGAAGAATGCTAGCACTTAAAGACGAATACGCAATTATATTTGCTAATTATTCTATTGGCAATCAGGCAATCACGTGGGCAATTCGCGATCCTGACCCAAAAAAGCAGCAAAAATTTTGAACATGAAAAAAATCAATATTGAAACGGATTTTTAGGTAAGTATAACCAAATTTCAGCCAAGTGAACCTAAATGTTTAGCTCTAATACCTTTGTTTCGCTAAGACACGTGTATCTAGCCATTTCCTAACAATCCCTCGAGTGCAATATTCCAGCAGAATATATTGTACTGAGAATGTTTGCTGAACGTCCATTATTGAGGCACTAGGGAAAAATTCCAGCTTGCGATACCAAACAATGCGAGGTCGGGTTATTAAAAAACTTATTTTGTCTTGCCTTTCCCTATACTTGTAGTAATGGAAATAATATGTGATGGGTATATGTGACTACTAAATGTAACACTTGTTTTATTTAGTAGTTCTTTTATTCTCTTGGACTTTTTCCTAAGTTTTGTGTTGGAGCTAACTTTTATGGGAGATTTGCAAATGCTTTTCTATAGTCGTGATTCTGCTGTATCGTTTCTCAAAATACCTATATAAAACTAAGCTTTATTTTGTTTTTAAATAATCAGCGGCTTAACGCATTCGCATTATTAAACTGTGATATAGAACGCCTTTCAGTTTAATATCATAGTTTATCGTTGTTGGATGAACTCTAATAGCGTAAATCCCATAGCTACGGAGGGTGAATGCCATCTGCCCTCTATGACTCATCAGGGGTGATCGGCTTACCTACCTACTTTGGTTCTAAAGTTTAGATTAAATTTTTACTACCGAACGAAAGAAATAGATTACAATATACTTTGGTCTCTTATGTCTTAAAAACTAGATCTATGGACTAAGTACTAAAACTAAATTAGTAAAGAATGAAAAACAAAAATTCTTTCCCTAGAATCTAAAACCTTACTAACTTTAAGTTACTTAAATTAAAAGAAGCTCTGTTGCTTATTATTGAAAAGCTAACTAAATTTTAAAAAAAATAATTATCGAGATATGTCTATAGACTTTGATCTGACATTGAATGCAATCTGGTATGACAGCCAATCGATGCAGGATAGCGCGCAGTACATCTCAATAGCTAGTTGTATAACAAAACATGTTATAGACATTTAAACGTAGGCATATAACATATAGTTAACAAATTATGTAATCGCAGACCACTCACGATCAAACCGGTGTCTAGGTCATGTGTGGGCGAAGTGTGCACGGAACGCGAGCGCTAAGCAAACGTGTGCGCGCGGCAAACGCTGCGGCGCAACTGGCAATCAAGAGCCGGGCGAGACTGGGTGGCGCCCCCCTCCGCCCCGCGCCTCGCGTCCCGCGCCGCCGCAAAGGTATGTTGGCGCACACCGTGGGACCTCGGACACTTTTGTGGTTACCCAAATGTTTGCATATTTCCGTTGCTTTATGTTGACAACTAAGTGAAAACATCGCAGTAGGGACCACTGCTGTCAGTTACAGCTAAATAATTAGGTGGTTATTATTTACTTTACTTTATTATTTTTTTCCAAAGGATTCGCTGCTAAGCTTTGCTGTTATAACGTTTGCAAACATTTGCAGCACAGCAACAAGAAAAAGTCATTCGAAATCCCGTCTTTTCTGAAATAGGCACCTAGGTAAAAAATATTTTGTGTCAAATTTAACCTAACATTTCGTAACAAACTACCCTCCTTTTACATTTTATTAAACATCAGTGGGAAATTTACAGCAAAAAGGCCACATTTGCTCAAAATAGATGTGAAGATAGAATGTGAGCATGAAATGATAAATTACCAACATTTTTCACCCGTGGTTATGGAGGAAGAAACACAAATAACGTACAAACATATTTCCTAAATAAAACCAGGTAGGCATGAAAGGATTACATACGACGTATATTTGAGAAGTTACCTAAGATATCTAGATAGGTTACATAAATAGGTACTTAGAATAACTTTATCTCTTTCTATAAATTATTCCTCCAAATCTTTACTTTAATCTCTTAGAGTCAAGTATTTTTAATTTATAATACTTAGGTACTAAGAAATAAAAACTTAAATCGATACTCCGTAATACCTTGTTCTACTCGAATCACAATTAAAACTTTTTAAACCAAATATTTTAAAGGAAATTAACCTACACTAACACCTACTAGCAGTAATTGCGACCCAGTAAATTCCCCTTTAACATTTATTGAGGTTGGATAACGCATTTCTCGTCCTTTCCGACTGAGTAAGGTAGTCTTTACTTTGTAAGTAGGTATTTATTAAACCCCGAAGTTCCCTGAAGTAATCACTCATTGGACTTTGATAGTTTTTTAATAATTATCTAATGGTTATTTCTAAGATGTGTAAAAGGTTTAATTATTAAATTTTTCGTTGATAAAATTGAAAATACGACTGCGGACTTCTCACTCTGCGGTCTGAAGTCTACGGTTCCCGGTTATTCGTTTTTTCGTAAGTATTTCGTATTTTCGTTTTTTTTTTTATTTTCATAGAAATAACTATAAGTAACTAACTAGGTCTTTTTTTTAAGGGGGGTAAATCATCGAATGACTGCTCCCGCCTGGGTGAGGCGGAAGGGAGTGTCAGACTCTTACTGACTAAAAACCACCCCGTTCCTTCTCCTGCACGTCGAGCCGGAGCCCCGGTTACCCGTTAGGTTCTCCGCGACAACTAACTAGGTCTACGATGTAGGTAAATAGACAAATGGCTTTTGCAGGTCGCGCTACTGAGAGAACACGAACTTCTTAATCCCCAATTATGAAAAATCCACATTTGTTCATGAACATAATATGAATACAAAAGTAGTGTCTAAAAATCGGCAATAAGGTCTATAATGGGGTAAGTGGAGAGCGATCACCGGTGGCCGCTTGGGGATTGGGCAGTAAGCCCAATTTAGCTAAGGAAATGATGTCACAAATACGAATTAACTTAGCCAAACTAAATTCTTATCTAGCAACATCTAATCACTTACCTACCTACTCCAAATAATCCTATACTAGCCTACAGCTTTCTAGGTCATGAGAAGTCTCAGTCTCAGAGGCCAGGTCAAGACTGTACTGAGGGATTAACTCGACTGATGTTTTATTCAACCTATGTACTCCAAGCATAGTGGAGTATGTATAGTAAGTGAACATTCAGTCTTGATGTGTGTGTAAGTCTAGTGTGTAGGTCTTTGTCAGTCGCCGTACGACGAATCCTGAGTTAAAGTTAAGCAAAAAGTTAAATGTCCAACCTGGAAATTATCTGCATAGTAATCTTATTTGGCTATTCTACTAAATGAGAAGTGGATGATTTTTTTTCTTTTTTTTTCCTTGGGACTGACGTTTGACATGGCGATAATTTGGCCTACGATGGAGCACGTCGACCCATAAACAACGTATTCACTCGAGCCTTGAAGACACCCAGGGATACCTTCAGGGATTCCACTCCTTAGCGCTTCGTGCGTGTGGATGGGATATCATCCATGAACCGGTGACGCTTCGCCGATTGTCTTGTGGTACGATGATGGAAAGGTCTAGAGGGAATCAAGTTGTGCAATTCCCCCGCACACACACCAAATTGTATCTGGTAGAAGACTGAAACATTGCAACCTTACGCCTGTGTTCGGATAGGCTTTCAGATAGGTATCCAGTTTTCTATGAACCAGTGAAATCATTTATAGGTACTTTAATATGTTTTGTCCAGAGGCCTTAGTACGACGTTGTTTTACGTTAAAAGTAATCGTAACGAGTACGCGTTCGGCGCTCTGATTGGTTGGTTCATTGGTGCTGGCCAATCAGAGCACCGAACGCGTACTCGTTTCGAATCGAATCGAACTAAGGCCTCAGAATACCCATTCCTAAGAGGCTGTGCTTTATCATTACGGTTTTTGCTTTTAATATTTCTGACTTTACTAACAGCATTAACCGCTTGAATGGCTGTATATGAGACACAATAGTAGAATACATTGTGTCTCGCGTGAATCCACGTTTAGATACAGGCTCTGAAGTAAATTGAATGCTTGACTCTTTCCATAACACATTGTTAGATGCTCAATGTGTCAGTAAGAATTTCGTTGTCCCTTCTCAAATGCTCAATGGTTTGCTGCTGATCCATAACTCATACGCATTTAGTGACGTACGGGTCTCCAGACGCCGTAGGTTCAAACCCTTGTCATTTCAAATACCACAGTTTTAGTTAGTTACATTTAATTTTAGATAGCTAAAGATATAATATATTCACCAAGTCTTGTTATAATGCAAGAGAAGGTAAAAGAAAATAAAAAACAAAATAATAAAAATAATAATACATTTATTTATTAAATCATGTCAAATGTCAAATATTGAGCTTATAAAATAATATAAAAACTAAAATAATATCTATCACAATTTGCACTTTGCACTTTACACCAATAACGTCAGGTACCATTTTTAATTAAATAAAACAAATAATACAAAATAAAATAATACATTAAATATTCTCCATTTGTCTGTATTTTATATTAATACTAAAATTATAATATTTAAATTAAAATAAAAATAATAAAATATGGCATAACATTTGGCAAAAAATACATAAAATTTTTGGCACACAATTTTGAAGGCAGTGCGAAATGATGGTAAGAGTTACTTATTTGTGAAAAAATTAAATAAAAAATAATCTTATGTACTTTGTTACATGGCGTAATGTAGTTGAAAAAATATAATATTAAAATGCATTTCGAAACAAAATTGCATTATTTTATCAAATTCTATAAACTTTTTCCTATCTTTTACCCAACTCAGTTGGAGTCGGCACTTAACCAGATTTGTCCGAATAGTATATAACACCGAGCGATCTGCTCCACAGACCGCTAATAGTGATATCACAATTTTGGTCAAACATAATAAATACAATTAAAAAATACACAATATCACAATACATTTAATTTAAATACCTACTTTTTTAATTGCACACGAGTTTCTCGTATAAGTTTAAAAGTGCAATAATTGCATTTTGTGCAGTTAGTCCATATTTGTGCTAGACGTGTAAACTAACTTGTTAGCTAAAGCTAAGTTATTTACTAACTTGTTCCATACTGACCAGTAACAATACTCTAAAGAGACCACTGAGAACTGAAACAAAAAACAAAACCAACATAAGAAAAAAAACAAAACATCTAATGCCTGATGTCCAAATACTCAAATGTAAATGTAAATCAAAGTGTGGGAGAGCCATGCTTCGGCACGAATGGGCCGACTCGACCAGAGTAATACCACGGCCTCACAGAAAACCGACGTGAAGCAACGCTTGCGTTGTGTTTCATCGTGTGAGTGAGGTTACCGGAGGCCCAATTACCCTCCCCTTCCCCAATCTCCCCAATCGCTGAAACCCCAACGATCCTCAAACTCCTAATCCCCAAAAAGCCGGTAACGCACTTGTAACGCCTCTGGTGTTCCAGGTGTCCATGGGCGACGCCGATTGCTTACCATCAGGTGATCCGTCTGCTCGTTTACCGGCTCATCCTATAAAAAAACGCCACTCAATTTTAACGATATTTAAGTAGGAACCACTTAAAATTGTACCCTTTCAGTATTTGGGCTTTAATCTATAGTCACTGCCTGAGATCTAATTTTGAATCAGCAGAAAGATTTTTGTTGTCTATTTCGAAATCCTTTAAATAACCTCGCAGAAATTGCTGATAACATAAGTTGTTCCAGTGTTCTTTTGGTCAAAGTAACCCCGGATGAGATATCAAAAATAAATAGTAAAAAATTTGCCTATAAAAGGAGATAAAAGGTCTGTTGCTGAAATGTATAAATAACACACGACACGTCGCGCCAAAATGACGCGTAAAATATTTGAAATCGATCATGACATGCCGTGATAAAACCTTTATCGATTGAGGCTTTTTAACTGCCCAACCCACAAACCGATATCCCACGTCTTTTACAATTAGGTCGGGTAAACACCTTTTATCGGGGTTTGTAAACCCTTCATGAAGTCATTCCTGATAGAGGATTGTCCGTCAATTTTCATGTAAAGTAGGTACCAATCCCTATGTCTCGCAATTACGTTCCCTAGGGAGTACGGAAACTTTTAAAGAGAACAAAATAGGTACTGTTATATCAGCATCACGTTGCCATACCAAGGCTAAGTAAACCGCTGAGCCAGCTTCAGTTGTTTCCTTCGTTTTATTTAATACATTGACGTCAATTGAAAATCTTCGTAAGCATTTGCGGTTTCTTTTTCTTACTATGTATTTAGATTTGACACTTTCTATTTCTTACTATGTATTTTATATCA